ATTGCAAAAACTAGAGAGAGAATGGGCTCATTTCCATGAGAAAATGCAGTGCTTTTCACTGTTGGCTGCCAAGCCGGGCAAAAGAGAAATTTGCAAGTCCAAACTTTCTCACCCAAATAACCAAACCATGAATTTCTTCACTTAGGTGGAGACCTGAGAAAAAAGGGAGTGGTAAGATGAGTGACTGCATGTCAGCAGCTACCAGGTGGGCTTCCTCTCTGCAGCAGCCCCTTCCACCCCATATTACGTGCTCATTCACCTGCACGATTCATCATTTGTCTTGACTACAATTCTATTATTCCTGTCTAACCCATCACACAATTTAAAATCGCTTTCTAATATCTAATTAACTCCTATACTAATTCCCCAACTACCTATAAGTAAAGAAGCTCTAGTCCCCAAAGAGCTAAATAGTAAAGTCTCCTGCCTTCTCTCTGCTTCCAGAAAGCCTAAAGTCAGACTGTCAACCCTCAGATAGGGAATTTGAGGGTCAAATTCTAAAAAACCCAAATCTCTTCAGAGAAAATGAACCAAACACTGACTTTTTTGAGGAGTCTACCCCCTTCCATATGTAACAGATTAAGAAAAAAAAATCCAGCTTGCAGCTTGGTCACTCCATAGTGAGACCCAGCAATAGCCAAGCAGTCCTGGGTGAGCGTGATGGCTCATGATTGTAATGCCAGTACTTTGGGAGGCCGAGGCAGGTGGATCACTTGAGGCCAGAAGTTTGAGACCAGCCTTGCCAACATGGCAAAACTTTGCCTCTACTAAAAATACAAAAATCAGCCAGGCATGGTGGCCCACATCTGTAATCCCAGCTACTTGTGAGGCTGAGACAAGAGAATCTTTGCACCCCAAAGGCAGAGTTTGCAGTGAGCCTACATCATGCCACTGCACCCCAGCCTGAGGTGACAGAGCAAGACTGTTCAAAACCAACAACAACAAAAACAAGCTGTTCTTATACACACAAATGCAAACCCACTTACTGCCTCCTCATATTCAAATGTGAGTCTGCTGCCAAAAATCAGCAAAGACATGAAAATAGGCAGAAAAAGGTAAGATGCAGAGAAACAAACAATGCAGAGAGCAGAATAATCTTAAACATAAAAACAACAAAAAACTTCTCCAGATTGTTATATAGGGGCTCCAGGAGAAAAGTCTGGGGGCAGGAGCATGGTAATGATGTGTTTGAGCAGTCACGAAATACATTACATGTTTGACAAAGACACTGGAGAGTTCACCAAAAACAGCAATTGGTATTAGACAACACTAAAGACAAGAGTTATGGCTGCACACAGTGGCTCACGCCTACAATCCCAATACTTTGGGAGGCTGAGGCAGATGGAGCACTTGAGGCCAGCAGCTCAAGACCAGCCTGGCCAACATGGCCAAACATCGTCTCTACTGAAAACACAAAACTTAGCCAGGGTTAGTAATCTCAGCTATTCAGGAGGCTGAGGCATGAGAATCACTTGAACCTGGGAGGTAGAGGTTGCAGTGAGCCAAGATTCTACCACTGCACTCCAGCCTGGGAGACAGAACAAGATCCTGTCTCAAAATAATAGTAATAATAATAATAATAAAGACAAGGATTATCAACTCCAAGAGAAACAAAGGGCTATACAAAAAGGAACCACGATCATATTTTACTGTTGGCTTAACAGTGAAAAACATTTGTTTAAATCATAATGTTATAAATCTTGACTACTAGTTTAGCAAAATCCTGTTAAGTAACTTTGATGAGGGTATAGATGAAAACGAATTGTGTGGAGAGTGAGAGAGTAGTCATCTTTCTCTTAAAGTCAGTAAATGAAAAAAATGTAGTAAACGCATATTTAAGAATAAAAGAATAAATAGGCCAGGCACAGTGGCTCATGCCTGTAATTCCAGCACTTTGAGAGGCCGAAGCAGGAGGATAGTTTAAGGCCAGGAGTTCAAGACAGGTTTGGGAAACATAGCGAGATCCAATCTCTATTTAAAAAAATTAAAATAAAAATAATGTAGCTGAGTGTGGTGGTGCATGTCTATAGTCCTAGCTACTCAGGAGGTTGAGGTGGGAGAATTGCTTGAATACAGGAGTTCAAGGCTGCAGGGAGTTATGACTGCACCATTGCATTCTAGCCTAGGTGATAGAATGAAACTCTGTCTCTAAAAAAAAAAAAAGAGAGAGAGAGAAAAGAAAAAAATAAATAAAAGAGCAAATAGTAGGGAAGGGAAACAGCCCAAAGTGCAAAAGTGTTGTTTATTAAAATATAGAAATATAATACATAAATATATAAAAGAGGGAAGGGGCCTGAAGGGTGGAAAAGGTCACTGTTACCTTTTTAAATAAGGCTTAGAATTTGGGGGGGGGGCGCGGAGATTCAGATGTGTTAATATGTATTTGTATTACATTAATTTAAACATATATATAATTTTTTTTTCTTAAGAGATGAGATCACGCTATGTTGCCCAGGCTGGTCTTGAACTGCTGGGGTCAAGTGATCCTCCCACTTTGGCCTGGGAGTACAGGTGTGGGCCATCAAGCCTGGTCTAAAAGTATATATTTTGATGGCTAAAAGTAAAACTAAAAATCTCTATGACTGCAAGATGTAATCAGAGCTGGGGGTTGGAAGAATAAAACTCAAATAGGTAACTAGTCCCAAACCAAGTCATTGAAATCAGACACTTGTAAAAGCATGCTGTCCTCCCCCTTTTAATTAGACCTCTTCAAAAAATCGGCAGTNATGCAAATCAGCTTACTCTCTCCTCATATTCGAATGCGTGTCTGTTGCCAAAAATTAGCAAAGACATGAAAATAGGCAGTAAAAGATAAGATTCAGAGAAGAGACAATGCAGAGAGCAGAATAATCTTAAACATAAAAACAAAGAAAGTCTTCTCCAGATTGTTGTATAGGGGCTCCAGGAGAAAAGACTTGGGGCAGGGGGATGGTAATGGTATGTTTGAGCAGTCAGGAGACACATATTTAACAAAGACTGGAGAGTTCAACAAAAAATAGCAATTGGTATTAGACAAAACTAAAGATAAGAGTTATGGCTGAGCAGGGTAGCTCACTCCTATAATCCCAGCACTTTTTCTGAAAAGACGAGGTCTCACTATGTTTTTCCAGGCAGGTGAGGCCAGGAGTTTGAGACCAGCCTGGCCAACATGGTGAAACACCATCTATACTGAAAATACAAAAATTAGCTGGGCTTAGTAATCCCAGCTACTCAGGAGGCTGAGACATGAGAATCACTTGAACCTGGGAGGCAGAGGTTGCAGTAAGCCAAGATTGTACCACTGCACTCCAGCCTGGGTGACAGAGTGAGATCCTGTCTCAAAATAATAGTAATAATAATAATAAAGACAAGAATGATCAACTCCAAGAGAAACAAAGGGCTATACAAAAAGGAAACGTGATCATATTTTACTGTTAACTTAAGTGGAAAACATTTGTTTAAATCATAATGTTATAAACCTGGACTGCTAATTTAACAAAATACTATTAAATAACTTTGATGACAGTATAGATGAAAAGGAATTGTGTGGAGAGTGAGGGAGTGATCGATCATCTTTCTGCTAAAGTCAATAAATGAAAAAAAGTAGTAATTGCGTATTTAAGAATAAGAATAAATAGGCCAGGCACAGTGGCTCATGCCTGTAATTCCAGCACTTTGAGAGGCCAAAGCAGGAAGACTGCTTGAAGCCAGGAGTTCAAGATGAGTCTGGGCAACATAGTGAGACCCAGTCTCTATAAAAAAATAAATAAATAAAAATAATTTAGCTGAGTGTGGTGGTGCATGACTGAGTAGTTAGGACTACTCAGGAGGTTGAGGTGGGAGAATTGCTTGAATACAGGAGTTTGTGGCTGCAGGGAGTTAGGATTGCAACACTGCACTCCAGCCTAGGTGATAGAAAGAGACCCTGTCTGAAAGAAAGAAAGAAAGAAAGAAAGAAAGAAAGAAAGAAGGAAAGAAAGAAAGAAAAGAGCAAATAGCAGGGAAGGTAAACAGCCAAAAGTGTTGCTTATTGCAATATGGAAATAAAATACATAAATGTAATATAAAATAGGGAAGGGGACTGAAGGGTAGAGAAAGTCATGGTTATCTTTTAAAACAAGCCTCAGAATCCCACTTCAGCCTGGGATTGCAAGGGTGGGCCACCAAGCCTGGTCTAAAAATATATATTTTGATGGCTAAAATTAAAAATAAAAATCTCTATGACTGCAAGATGTAATCAGAGCTGGAGGTTGGAAGAATAAAGCTTAAATGGGTAACTAGTCCCAAACCAAGTCATTGAAATCAGACACTTGTAAAAGCATGCTGTCCTCCCCCTTTTAATTAGACCTCTTCAAAAAATCGGCAGTCTTACCACCATTGCTTTGATGTTACAAATAGACTGCAAAACATCTGATGGATCTTATAATTTCTCCAATTTATCACAGGGACAAAATACTTCTCTCGCGAATATTTTCGTAACTAATTAAAACCTTAATTTCTACTCTCTGCTGTCAGTCATGACAGTCTACATTAAATGCTTTATTTAGTCTAATCACACTGATATCCATTTGTATGCTAATATTTAGACATATGCTTGATAAATATCTAAATAAAGCATAACATTTTTTCCCAATAAAGGTAATTCTTTGGAAAGACAGAATTGACTTTAAGCTTTTAGAAAATATATACCAATAAACTGATAGAATGTATAAACCAGTTATAAACCTAAAACTTTTACTAAAATGATTCCAAACCCTCTCATAATTTCCTTTGAAGTTTGGCTTTTATCCAGCACAAGCAACACACTCTGCTCCATTAATTTTAAGTATCTATGAACGAGACACATTTAGGCTTAGAAATAATGAAGTTAGAACTACTCAAACATATGCATTCATGGATAATAATTGCTAATTGCTACACACACAGTCAAACCCACTTATTGTGGTTTGCTTTAAAAATAGACAAATTGATTTAATAAAAACCAGTTCAAACAGGGCATTTAGGAAGAGTAATTTGTTTACCTCTGTTGGTTTGTAGCAGTCTACAAGAGCTTCCTAGAATTAAACACACAGAAAGTCAGTTTTATTATTTTAAAATTCAATATTATTTTAAAAGTAAAATTAAAAATCATTTTATATTCATAGTGTTATTTTATAATGGTAAATCAAGTTTTCATACTGTCTAGAAACATACTTCATTTCAACACCAGTTGGTTGTCTGAAGATATAAAACATTTAACTTTAATATATTCCTCACCTGCATACACACATACTACATGAAAAACTTTTGAACAGGAAAGATTTATTTTTTATACTGTCATAACATTAAAAACAAAATGTAATCTTTGACCAGTTTTTTGTTTTTTTTGAGACAGAGTCTCACTCTGTCGCCCAGGCCGGAGTGCAGTGATGCTATCTCAGCTCATTGCAACCTCTCCCTCCTGGGTTCAAGTGATTCTCCTGCCTCAGCCTCCCGAATAGCTAGCACTACAGGTGTGCACTACCACACCCAGCTAATTTTTGTATTTTTAGTAGAGATGGGTTTTTGCCATGTTAGCCAGGCTGGTCTCAAACTCCTGACCTCAGCTGATCCACCCGCCTTGGCATCCCAAAGTACTGGGATTGCAGGAGTGAGCTACTGCACCTGGCCCCTTGACCAGGTTTTGAATGCCTTGCTGAGGAAGTACAGGGATGCCCAAGCATCCATGAGGTTGTAGACTTCAGAGAGATGTGGACTAACTTAGGAGCTCAAATCCAACTAAGTAACTAAAAACCTAACTTAGTAGCTCAAAATCCCAACTTAGTAGCTCAAAACCAAATCTGTGGAGATTTGGTTCTCCACAGGAACCAGATGCTACTCTCTAGTTTTCCTCTAATTAATTGGATATAACTCAGCAGGATCCAGATGCTTTCAAACCCACTCTTCTGGTCAATGACTTTGTACCTCTTCTGTATGCACATGCACATGCACATGCACACAACTTTCCTTTGGCTGCCAACTTGGTGGATATTAAAGTTGAGCCAGCCTGTGCAAGATGGTGGCACCCACACTGCACTCAGGAAGCAAGGGGTTTAAGTGCATTGCAGCCATAAACAGCCTGGGTCCTTACCTGGGAACTGGGGGGCAAGGGGTGATGACAGCTTAAAAAGAGCCTTTCAAGTTCTCGATTTTAAGAAAACTTTGTTATGTCATTACATTTTCCACAGAACTGATACCTGCGTTGTCTTTTTAAAATTTTATAGCTAGGATGCTATTGTCTCCCAGCCAAATCTACCAAGAAGAAATAATTGTCATAAGTGAGACTGTTTACCACTCAAGGGACGCTACTTAATGTCTAATACATTAAGCACATTAATACATTAAAATGTGCCCTTTGATTGCCATAGTGGCCATTTGCCATTTGTGGTCACCAACAGCCATTAGCAGTAATTATCAGTGGACATTAAGAACAATGGCAAGTTAAAGTTAATTGGTTTTAGAAACTCCCAAATGCAGATTTAAAAATGATACATTTGACCTCCCGTGGGAAGGGAAATGAGTATTGCACTTTATTGCTCTCAAATAAGGAAATATCAGACATCTCAATATCCATCGCTGTACTGGAATGCTACGAGGTGAGCACTGTCTATGAGAAGATAGTCTACTAAATAGAAGTATGCCATAAGCAACCATATATAAAAATTAATTTCATGAATGATACAGTCCACAACTGCGAGACAAGAGCCCTGGGCTTGGATGGTCCAGTGCTAGCTCAGTCTCTCTTCCTCTCACACAACTGTGGGGCATCACTTCCCTTCCCTGGCAAGGGGATCTTTGGAAGCAGAATCAGCTGTTTCTCCCAAGAAAATGAGGCTGGAGAAAGTGATGCCCATAAGGCGCTTTGAGAACTGACTATAGTCAAGAGCTGCTTTATCATCAGAGAGGCAGTTTAAGAGGCTGAACACTTAGCTGCCCATTGCTTTCCTCTCTGCAGACAGCCATGGCCCAAGTCCTGGTGCCAATGCTGCCACAGGGCAGAATCAGTTCATGCCAAGCTCCAGACTCTCAAGTGTCCATGATCAGAAGGCTCTCAATTTTGAAAACTGCTTACCTGTAACTTTGAAGCTCTCTCTTCATCACTGTCTGCATCAAGAAGATCATCAATGTCAATTTCTACCTCTGGCATTTCTTCTTCCTGGAGGGCAGCAGGAGGATACGAAGGCATTTAATTTAGTTAGAAATCTAACTGTATCCCACCAGTTAGGTTAAGTTGAAAAACAACTAGATCATCAATCAAGAGGGGCTGATGGATAAGCAGGGAGAAAGAGAAGCTGGGGGAGAGGAGGGAAGGAAAGAGAGGAAAGGGGAAACAGGAAGAAGGGGTAAAGAGAGGGAGAGGGGAGAAGATAAGAAAAAGGAAGAAGGAATGAGGACAGAGGGAGAAGGGGAATGAAGGAAGGAAGGAAAAGAAGAGGGGAAGGAAGGACAAGAGGGAGGAAGGGGAACAAAGGAGAATTAAGAGTCACAAAGGAGTAAAAGTCATATTGCAAAAAATGAGAATTTTCTATTTTCTAGCAGAAAACTACATCTATAAGCATATAATGGGAGATTGGCAGATAACAGAAAGAGCTGGGAGATTCCAGTTTCCTATCTAACAGCTACCCTTTGCTGGGTGATTACCCCAATCTCTATTTGGAGGTCTACATCTTCCTTCACAGCTCTGGGTCTATGGAAAACCTGATTTCAACCATGGGATTTGGGGCATCAGCATTGTCTTAGCCCCAGTTACTGATTTAAGAGAAGACACGTGGTCCAACTGAGAACTAAGGGGGCTCTGGGAAAAGGCGCTCTTTCAACAAGAATGTCCCCTTCACATCCTCTGAACCGAGGAAGTGTGTGGCACCGGAAATTGCCAGTGGCCAACATACAACCCTGAAGAGAGGCTGAGTTTAGGATGAGGCTGACTCCACGGTGGGCAGAGCTGGAGAGAATAAGAAAACAGGGTTCTAGGTAAAATCGCCACATCCCTGCATCAAACCACCTCTGAAGCCTGCTTGTGGGTGAGTGAGTCAACCCCTTTCATTGTTGCAGCCCATGTGGGTCTAGTTCAATAGTCCTGCAACCAAAGACATCCAGTCCAGAAAACAGAGAAGAAGGGCCAGCTGGATTTGGTGAAAGGCCTCACTAATTTGGAATCTGAACTTCAAACAAGATGTTGGCTATTTCTCATCTCTTTTGTTACCTAAGTCTTCTCTATACTTCTCAGAACAGCATTTTAAAATGTCAAAATAAAAGAGCATTTAAGAGAGTCCTGCAATTTTGCATTTCATCAGGAGTCACTGCAGCCCAACTCCTTTCAGCCGCAGGGATGGCTGAGGAGCATCTGTGGGAAGGAGCTAGAGAGAAAGGTGTGCATGGGGACACCAGGGACACCTGGGCATTCCCTGGGTGTAGTCTCTCTGTGTCTTGGCTCCAAGAGCTGTTTGTCTTGGCTTCCCGGGTGAAGCTGACTTTCCTTTCTACTGAAGTGCATTTGCACTAAACCTTGTGTGTATGTGTGTGTTGTGTGTGTGTGTGTGTTAAAACACAAAAGTAAGGACCCTAGTATACTGAGGAAGTCAAGGAATATGATACACTATCCTTGCTGACATCAGCTACAAGGGCAGGTCCTCAACAGGCAGGAAAGTTCCAGAAACAACCTCCCTAGTGACTTATTCCTGTTTCTTTGGAGAATTTCTATTTAGATCCTTTGCTTGGCTCTTAAGCAAATAAATACTTCAAAAGCAGTATTTATCAACATGAATGTTTTCGATCTCATCTGTGCAGTTCTGCCTAAAGTAAGAAAGATTTCGTACTTGACATAATTTTCATATCTGTACTTAATCATGTAGCTATTAATAGAAGCTGATGATGCGGAAACAGGAAGTTGAAATGCTTTGATGATAATAAAGCTGAAGGATGACTTTTCCGTGGCTAGGAGCATCGCTGTGCAAACATCACAGACTGAACGTACACAAACCTAGATGGCCTGGCCTACCACACACCTAGGCTGAGTGGCACAGCCTATTGCTCCTAGGCTGTAAACCTGGACAGCACGTTACCATACTGAATAATGTAGGCAACGGTAACACAGTGGGAAGTATTTGTGCATCTAAACATGGAAACGGTACTGTAAAAATAGGGCATTATAATCTTATGGGATGACTGTCATATATGCAGTCCATTGTTGATTTAAATACTGTTAAATGGTATGTGACTACGCTCGCAAGCTATAACAATGTGGCTCCTTAAATCTCCGGTAAATGAGCTTAATGTCTATTTTTTTTAAAGATGGAGTCTCGCTCTGTTGCCAGGCTGGGTGCAGTGGCACAATCTTGGCTCACTGCAACCTCCAACTCCCTGATACAAGTGATTCTCCTGCCTCAGCCTCCCAAGTAGCTGGGATTACAGGTACACGCCACTATGCCCAGCTAATTTTTGTATTTTTATTAGAGGCGGGGTTTCACCATGTTGGTCAGGATGGTCTGGATCTTCGGATCTCATGATCCACCTGCCTCGGCCTCCCAAAGTGCTGGGATTACAGGCATGAGCAACTGTGCCCAGCCAGTGTCTGCTATTTTTAAAGGAAATGACAGAACAATTAGTAACTAAAGCCTACCTCAGAACAGAGCAGCAATGAGTTTCCCTGTAAACATTATTCAAAGAGTTTTGATGCCAGCCAAGTTTGGTCAAACAGGCTTTGACTTGCATAGCCATGTAGGGCCTCACCCTACGCAGTGGGCATCTTCAGTTAGGCATCTTCTCCTTAGGACTGTGCATGCTCTCTGTTAGGTATTGCACTGACCCATTTTCCCCAACCCTTGAGATCTGGGCTGTCCAATATGGTAAGCACATGTGCTAAGCACATTAGAATACATTAAAATGAAAGACAATTCAGAATTCAGTTCCTCAGTCGCAATGGCCACATCTCAAGTGCTCAGTAGCTACATGCGGCAAGTGGCTGTTGCACTGGACAGCACGGATGAGAACGCCCGCACTGTGGCAGAAGCTCTATAGCACAGCGCTGCCCTGGAGTACACTCACTCTCTGGCTGAGGAAGCTGGGAAGCAAAGCCCCTTCCCCTCTCAAAGGGGCTTCACAGGAGTAAGGAAAAAAATTGCCAGGCATCTCAAGGTCACTCCCACTACCCAAGGGCATGTGGTGACAAACCCTGAGCTTGGTCTTGCAAACCAGAAAGCGGATGCCAACAAAGCCCAGATCTCAAGGGCTGGGGAAAACCTCAAGTGATTGAGTAATCACAACAGTCATTAGGCATCGGCACTTTTTACCAACCTATGCGCTCCTCAGAAAGCCCACCCTGACTTATCAGAGGCATCCTGCTCCCAGCTCAGCATGCACCCGGGTGTTCTGAATGCCAGTGAGGCTGAAACAAAATCCAGCTGAGAAGAACGCAGAGACCCAGAGGCTCTGCAGGGAGAGTCCTGGGAAGCAAAGACAGCACCTNATGCAAATCAGCTTACTCTCTCCTCATATTCGAATGCGTGTCTGTTGCCAAAAATTAGCAAAGACATGAAAATAGGCAGTAAAAGATAAGATTCAGAGAAGAGACAATGCAGAGAGCAGAATAATCTTAAACATAAAAACAAAGAAAGTCTTCTCCAGATTGTTGTATAGGGGCTCCAGGAGAAAAGACTTGGGGCAGGGGGATGGTAATGGTATGTTTGAGCAGTCAGGAGACACATATTTAACAAAGACTGGAGAGTTCAACAAAAAATAGCAATTGGTATTAGACAAAACTAAAGATAAGAGTTATGGCTGAGCAGGGTAGCTCACTCCTATAATCCCAGCACTTTTTCTGAAAAGACGAGGTCTCACTATGTTTTTCCAGGCAGGTGAGGCCAGGAGTTTGAGACCAGCCTGGCCAACATGGTGAAACACCATCTATACTGAAAATACAAAAATTAGCTGGGCTTAGTAATCCCAGCTACTCAGGAGGCTGAGACATGAGAATCACTTGAACCTGGGAGGCAGAGGTTGCAGTAAGCCAAGATTGTACCACTGCACTCCAGCCTGGGTGACAGAGTGAGATCCTGTCTCAAAATAATAGTAATAATAATAATAAAGACAAGAATGATCAACTCCAAGAGAAACAAAGGGCTATACAAAAAGGAAACGTGATCATATTTTACTGTTAACTTAAGTGGAAAACATTTGTTTAAATCATAATGTTATAAACCTGGACTGCTAATTTAACAAAATACTATTAAATAACTTTGATGACAGTATAGATGAAAAGGAATTGTGTGGAGAGTGAGGGAGTGATCGATCATCTTTCTGCTAAAGTCAATAAATGAAAAAAAGTAGTAATTGCGTATTTAAGAATAAGAATAAATAGGCCAGGCACAGTGGCTCATGCCTGTAATTCCAGCACTTTGAGAGGCCAAAGCAGGAAGACTGCTTGAAGCCAGGAGTTCAAGATGAGTCTGGGCAACATAGTGAGACCCAGTCTCTATAAAAAAATAAATAAATAAAAATAATTTAGCTGAGTGTGGTGGTGCATGACTGAGTAGTTAGGACTACTCAGGAGGTTGAGGTGGGAGAATTGCTTGAATACAGGAGTTTGTGGCTGCAGGGAGTTAGGATTGCAACACTGCACTCCAGCCTAGGTGATAGAAAGAGACCCTGTCTGAAAGAAAGAAAGAAAGAAAGAAAGAAAGAAAGAAAGAAGGAAAGAAAGAAAGAAAAGAGCAAATAGCAGGGAAGGTAAACAGCCAAAAGTGTTGCTTATTGCAATATGGAAATAAAATACATAAATGTAATATAAAATAGGGAAGGGGACTGAAGGGTAGAGAAAGTCATGGTTATCTTTTAAAACAAGCCTCAGAATCCCACTTCAGCCTGGGATTGCAAGGGTGGGCCACCAAGCCTGGTCTAAAAATATATATTTTGATGGCTAAAATTAAAAATAAAAATCTCTATGACTGCAAGATGTAATCAGAGCTGGAGGTTGGAAGAATAAAGCTTAAATGGGTAACTAGTCCCAAACCAAGTCATTGAAATCAGACACTTGTAAAAGCATGCTGTCCTCCCCCTTTTAATTAGACCTCTTCAAAAAATCGGCAGTCTTACCACCATTGCTTTGATGTTACAAATAGACTGCAAAACATCTGATGGATCTTATAATTTCTCCAATTTATCACAGGGACAAAATACTTCTCTCGCGAATATTTTCGTAACTAATTAAAACCTTAATTTCTACTCTCTGCTGTCAGTCATGACAGTCTACATTAAATGCTTTATTTAGTCTAATCACACTGATATCCATTTGTATGCTAATATTTAGACATATGCTTGATAAATATCTAAATAAAGCATAACATTTTTTCCCAATAAAGGTAATTCTTTGGAAAGACAGAATTGACTTTAAGCTTTTAGAAAATATATACCAATAAACTGATAGAATGTATAAACCAGTTATAAACCTAAAACTTTTACTAAAATGATTCCAAACCCTCTCATAATTTCCTTTGAAGTTTGGCTTTTATCCAGCACAAGCAACACACTCTGCTCCATTAATTTTAAGTATCTATGAACGAGACACATTTAGGCTTAGAAATAATGAAGTTAGAACTACTCAAACATATGCATTCATGGATAATAATTGCTAATTGCTACACACACAGTCAAACCCACTTATTGTGGTTTGCTTTAAAAATAGACAAATTGATTTAATAAAAACCAGTTCAAACAGGGCATTTAGGAAGAGTAATTTGTTTACCTCTGTTGGTTTGTAGCAGTCTACAAGAGCTTCCTAGAATTAAACACACAGAAAGTCAGTTTTATTATTTTAAAATTCAATATTATTTTAAAAGTAAAATTAAAAATCATTTTATATTCATAGTGTTATTTTATAATGGTAAATCAAGTTTTCATACTGTCTAGAAACATACTTCATTTCAACACCAGTTGGTTGTCTGAAGATATAAAACATTTAACTTTAATATATTCCTCACCTGCATACACACATACTACATGAAAAACTTTTGAACAGGAAAGATTTATTTTTTATACTGTCATAACATTAAAAACAAAATGTAATCTTTGACCAGTTTTTTGTTTTTTTTGAGACAGAGTCTCACTCTGTCGCCCAGGCCGGAGTGCAGTGATGCTATCTCAGCTCATTGCAACCTCTCCCTCCTGGGTTCAAGTGATTCTCCTGCCTCAGCCTCCCGAATAGCTAGCACTACAGGTGTGCACTACCACACCCAGCTAATTTTTGTATTTTTAGTAGAGATGGGTTTTTGCCATGTTAGCCAGGCTGGTCTCAAACTCCTGACCTCAGCTGATCCACCCGCCTTGGCATCCCAAAGTACTGGGATTGCAGGAGTGAGCTACTGCACCTGGCCCCTTGACCAGGTTTTGAATGCCTTGCTGAGGAAGTACAGGGATGCCCAAGCATCCATGAGGTTGTAGACTTCAGAGAGATGTGGACTAACTTAGGAGCTCAAATCCAACTAAGTAACTAAAAACCTAACTTAGTAGCTCAAAATCCCAACTTAGTAGCTCAAAACCAAATCTGTGGAGATTTGGTTCTCCACAGGAACCAGATGCTACTCTCTAGTTTTCCTCTAATTAATTGGATATAACTCAGCAGGATCCAGATGCTTTCAAACCCACTCTTCTGGTCAATGACTTTGTACCTCTTCTGTATGCACATGCACATGCACATGCACACAACTTTCCTTTGGCTGCCAACTTGGTGGATATTAAAGTTGAGCCAGCCTGTGCAAGATGGTGGCACCCACACTGCACTCAGGAAGCAAGGGGTTTAAGTGCATTGCAGCCATAAACAGCCTGGGTCCTTACCTGGGAACTGGGGGGCAAGGGGTGATGACAGCTTAAAAAGAGCCTTTCAAGTTCTCGATTTTAAGAAAACTTTGTTATGTCATTACATTTTCCACAGAACTGATACCTGCGTTGTCTTTTTAAAATTTTATAGCTAGGATGCTATTGTCTCCCAGCCAAATCTACCAAGAAGAAATAATTGTCATAAGTGAGACTGTTTACCACTCAAGGGACGCTACTTAATGTCTAATACATTAAGCACATTAATACATTAAAATGTGCCCTTTGATTGCCATAGTGGCCATTTGCCATTTGTGGTCACCAACAGCCATTAGCAGTAATTATCAGTGGACATTAAGAACAATGGCAAGTTAAAGTTAATTGGTTTTAGAAACTCCCAAATGCAGATTTAAAAATGATACATTTGACCTCCCGTGGGAAGGGAAATGAGTATTGCACTTTATTGCTCTCAAATAAGGAAATATCAGACATCTCAATATCCATCGCTGTACTGGAATGCTACGAGGTGAGCACTGTCTATGAGAAGATAGTCTACTAAATAGAAGTATGCCATAAGCAACCATATATAAAAATTAATTTCATGAATGATACAGTCCACAACTGCGAGACAAGAGCCCTGGGCTTGGATGGTCCAGTGCTAGCTCAGTCTCTCTTCCTCTCACACAACTGTGGGGCATCACTTCCCTTCCCTGGCAAGGGGATCTTTGGAAGCAGAATCAGCTGTTTCTCCCAAGAAAATGAGGCTGGAGAAAGTGATGCCCATAAGGCGCTTTGAGAACTGACTATAGTCAAGAGCTGGTTTATCATCAGAGAGGCAGTTTAAGAGGCTGAACACTTAGCTGCCCATTGCTTTCCTCTCTGCAGACAGCCATGGCCCAAGTCCTGGTGCCAATGCTGCCACAGGGCAGAATCAGTTCATGCCAAGCTCCAGACTCTCAAGTGTCCATGATCAGAAGGCTCTCAATTTTGAAAACTGCTTACCTGTAACTTTGAAGCTCTCTCTTCATCACTGTCTGCATCAAGAAGATCATCAATGTCAATTTCTACCTCTGGCATTTCTTCTTCCTGGAGGGCAGCAGGAGGATACGAAGGCATTTAATTTAGTTAGAAATCTAACTGTATCCCACCAGTTAGGTTAAGTTGAAAAACAACTAGATCATCAATCAAGAGGGGCTGATGGATAAGCAGGGAGAAAGAGAAGCTGGGGGAGAGGAGGGAAGGAAAGAGAGGAAAGGGGAAACAGGAAGAAGGGGTAAAGAGAGGGAGAGGGGAGAAGATAAGAAAAAGGAAGAAGGAATGAGGACAGAGGGAGAAGGGGAATGAAGGAAGGAAGGAAAAGAAGAGGGGAAGGAAGGACAAGAGGGAGGAAGGGGAACAAAGGAGAATTAAGAGTCACAAAGGAGTAAAAGTCATATTGCAAAAAATGAGAATTTTCTATTTTCTAGCAGAAAACTACATCTATAAGCATATAATGGGAGATTGGCAGATAACAGAAAGAGCTGGGAGATTCCAGTTTCCTATCTAACAGCTACCCTTTGCTGGGTGATTACCCCAATCTCTATTTGGAGGTCTACATCTTCCTTCACAGCTCTGGGTCTATGGAAAACCTGATTTCAACCATGGGATTTGGGGCATCAGCATTGTCTTAGCCCCAGTTACTGATTTAAGAGAAGACACGTGGTCCAACTGAGAACTAAGGGGGCTCTGGGAAAAGGCGCTCTTTCAACAAGAATGTCCCCTTCACATCCTCTGAACCGAGGAAGTGTGTGGCACCGGAAATTGCCAGTGGCCAACATACAACCCTGAAGAGAGGCTGAGTTTAGGATGAGGCTGACTCCACGGTGGGCAGAGCTGGAGAGAATAAGAAAACAGGGTTCTAGGTAAAATCGCCACATCCCTGCATCAAACCACCTCTGAAGCCTGCTTGTGGGTGAGTGAGTCAACCCCTTTCATTGTTGCAGCCCATGTGGGTCTAGTTCAATAGTCCTGCAACCAAAGACATCCAGTCCAGAAAACAGAGAAGAAGGGCCAGCTGGATTTGGTGAAAGGCCTCACTAATTTGGAATCTGACCTTCAAAGGAGATCTTGGCTATTTCTCATCTCTTTTGTTACCTAAGTCTTCTCTATACTTCTCAGAACAGCATTTTAAAATGTCAAAATAAAAGAGCATTTAAGAGAGTCCTGCAATTTTGCATTTCATCAGGAGTCACTGCAGCCCAACTCCTCCCAGCCGCAGGGATGGCTGAGGAGCATCTGCAGGAAGGAGCTAGAGAGAAAGGTGTGCGTGTGTTTGTCTTGGCTTCCCAGGCTGACTTTCTGAATGTTTCCTTCCTACTAAAGTGCATTTATTCATTAATAGTACTCAACCTTGTGTGTGTGTGTGTGTGTGTGTGTGTGTGTGTGTGTGTGTGTGTATGTTACAACACAAAAGTGAGGACCCTAGTATACAGAGGAAGTCAAGAAATGTGATGCACTATCCTTGCTGACATCAGCTCCAAGGGCAGGCCCTCAACAGGCAGGAAAGTTCCAGAAACAACCTCCCTAGTGACTTATTCCTGTTTCTGTGGAGAATTTCTATTTAGATCCTTTGCATGGCTCTTAAGGGGAAAATCCACTTCAAAAGCAGTATTTGTCAACATGAATGTTTTAGATCTCATCTGTGCAGTTCTGCCCAATGAAAGAAAGATTTTGTACTCCTCAACATAATCTTCATATCTGTAGCTATTAATAGAAGCTGATGATGCGGAAACAGGAAGTTGAAATGCTTTGATGATAATAAAGCTGAAGGATGACTTTTCCGTGGCTAGGAGCATCGCTGTGCAAACATCACAGACTGAACGTACACAAACCTAGATGGCCTGGCCTACCACACACCTAGGCTGAGTGGCACAGCCTATTGCTCCTAGGCTGTAAACCTGGACAGCACGTTACCATACTGAATAATGTAGGCAACGGTAACACAGTGGGAAGTATTTGTGCATCTAAACATGGAAACGGTACTGTAAAAATAGGGCATTATAATCTTATGGGATGACTGTCATATATGCAGTCCATTGTTGATTTAAATACTGTTAAATGGTATGTGACTACGCTCGCAAGCTATAACAATGTGGCTCCTTAAATCTCCGGTAAATGAGCTTAATGTCTATTTTTTTTAAAGATGGAGTCTCGCTCTGTTGCCAGGCTGGGTGCAGTGGCACAATCTTGGCTCACTGCAACCTCCAACTCCCTGATACAAGTGATTCTCCTGCCTCAGCCTCCCAAGTAGCTGGGATTACAGGTACACGCCACTATGCCCAGCTAATTTTTGTATTTTTATTAGAGGCGGGGTTTCACCATGTTGGTCAGGATGGTCTGGATCTTCGGATCTCATGATCCACCTGCCTCGGCCTCCCAAAGTGCTGGGATTACAGGCATGAGCAACTGTGCCCAGCCAGTGTCTGCTATTTTTAAAGGAAATGACAGAACAATTAGTAACTAAAGCCTACCTCAGAACAGAGCAGCAATGAGTTTCCCTGTAAACATTATTCAAAGAGTTTTGATGCCAGCCAAGTTTGGTCAAACAGGCTTTGACTTGCATAGCCATGTAGGGCCTCACCCTACGCAGTGGGCATCTTCAGTTAGGCATCTTCTCCTTAGGACTGTGCATGCTCTCTGTTAGGTATTGCACTGACCCATTTTCCCCAACCCTTGAGATCTGGGCTGTCCAATATGGTAAGCACATGTGCTAAGCACATTAGAATACATTAAAATGAAAGACAATTCAGAATTCAGTTCCTCAGTCGCAATGGCCACATCTCAAGTGCTCAGTAGCTACATGCGGCAAGTGGCTGTTGCACTGGACAGCACGGATGAGAACGCCCGCACTGTGGCAGAAGCTCTATAGCACAGCGCTGCCCTGGAGTACACTCACTCTCTGGCTGAGGAAGCTGGGAAGCAAAGCCCCTTCCCCTCTCAAAGGGGCTTCACAGGAGTAAGGAAAAAAATTGCCAGGCATCTCAAGGTCACTCCCACTACCCAAGGGCATGTGGTGACAAACCCTGAGCTTGGTCTTGCAAACCAGAAAGCGGATGCCAACAAAGCCCAGATCTCAAGGGCTGGGGAAAACCTCAAGTGATTGAGTAATCACAACAGTCATTAGGCATCGGCACTTTTTACCAACCTATGCGCTCCTCAGAAAGCCCACCCTGACTTATCAGAGGCATCCTGCTCCCAGCTCAGCATGCACCCGGGTGTTCTGAATGCCAGTGAGGCTGAAACAAAATCCAGCTGAGAAGAACGCAGAGACCCAGAGGCTCTGCAGGGAGAGTCCTGGGAAGCAAAGACAGCACCTAAGTGCCAAGGAGAGATTCCTGTAGATTGGTACTTAATATTCTTAATGAGAAGTATGGAAATATTCTAAATTCAATTGAAGTTCTATTTAACTTCTTCTTCTGTATGCTGGTCTTAGAGCAGTATCACTGAAAAACCTTAGTGATAGATCAAATCACTTACGAAGGAGTGAACATGCCCACGGCCCACCACGATGTCCCAGAGCTTAGTTGTGTTTGGGCATCTTCCCACATTAAAGATGTGTCCCTAAACAGTGGCTCTGGTGACAAAAAGGGGAACAACTATCTTCATAGCTGCTGGGGAAAGTTACCAGCTACACCCTACCCCACATTAGTGAGAGGCCCTCTTGGGAGCCACGGCACGAGGTCCTGGATCACCTCTAGGCATTTTTCTGGTCGTACATTTGTTGAAAAGCCACAGTCCATGGTGTGCCAGCCACAGTGTGTGTCTGTGTCCTCACTGGCATTCAGAACACCCAGGTGCATGCTGAGCTGGGAGCAGGATGCCTCTCTCCTCCTATGCCTCTGATAAGTCAGGGTGGGCTTTCTGAGAAAGGCACTGTGTGTCAGCCACAGTGAGGCCCTGGCCCTGGCGGATGGGCCATCTAAACACAGCTCTGACAAACACAATGGCAAGCAGTGGCCCCAAAGCCACAGACAACCCTGAGTGCTTTAGTGATTCAGGGAGAGAGGAAACTCTGCTGCAGGCAGGCGGGGAGATTTCACATAGGAGGGAGGAGGTGAGCTGGCCTTGTGCAGTGACAGGATTTGGACAGGTTTAGAGGGAAGGGAGAGCACTCCCAAGAGGCAAAATGGTAGCAGGAGGCAAAAAGACAAGACGAGTTCTAAATATGGGTGTAGAAAGGTCCTTGGCCTGGAAGCCGGTCAGCCCTGGGCTGCAAATATGAACATTAATGGGGGCCAGACAGGTGACAGAAAAGGGACAGGCCGGGGGCCATACTGTAGAGTGAGGAGTGCGGCAAACTGCAGAAAACACGGCCCATGGAAAAGCAGCAGGGAGCACTCCATTCCCACCTCCTGTCACCTTTTAGGAATATGCACTCAGTGCTGCCGGATTTTCTAAGTTTTCAGGAATAACTAGAAGCAGAGTTTTTAATGTAAAACATTCCAACTTTTAAAGCTGCCTGGCAACTTTTTAAAATGTTGTGTAGGATAAACAAAACCCACTGGCCCATAGACTGGGGTTTCCCCTTGTCCTGCAGAGACGGTCACCACTGAGGGCTCCATGGCTCCAGAACGAGAGGGGAAGGACAGAAGGAAGAGCTGGCCTGCTGCAGAGCCAGGCCAACAGGGAGGAGGCAGGAGGCTGTGGGAAGCCACGCATCAGGTGCAAAGCCACAGGCCTTGAAGGCGATCCTGGTAAGAATAAAAACAGTGATAATAGGGAGGAATAAACAGATGAGTCTGGAGAGGAGCTGGGTGAGGGATGAGGGAGAAAGAAAAGGTAAAGAGAAGACCCGGGTTCTAAGAGGTTTTAGAGAAAAAGCAACGACGAGAGCACACGGGCTGAAGACAGCTCGCACACCAGGGCGCAGTGCAGGCTTTGGCCACCACCAGCCCCTGCCCCAACTTGTAAGCAGAAGCGGGATCCCCACACTGCCACACTCGGGTAAGCGCCGCAGAACCTGCCGCTGGGCTTGCCGTGGATGGAGGCGCAGAATGGCTTCAGGCACCAGGGTGCAGAAATGCAAGCAAAGCAGAGTCCTG